AATTTGCCAGTAGAGCCATGTTCTTTCCCGCGAAATATTTGATTTCACCAAAGAGGAACTGTTTCCATGCAGAAAAGCAAAAACTAAGTATTATTTCAAGGCACTTGTAAATACCTTATGGAATATGATTAACCGTTGATTTACAGAATAACATAACATTTCACTGGATGAAATATCGAGAGATTGTGTTTCAAAACACGGCAGCCATTGCTACTCATCGGAGTTGGTTCGTCTGTTGGACCCAGGGTTGCCAGATGCAAAACTTCATTTTATGCCAAACCATTACCCAAAATATGCCAGAAAAATGCCAAATAAAGTGTAACATTGTACTCGCTTCACATCAAAAGCTATAGATTGAATTCTTCACTGTCCTCCTCACTGGAACATGTATAAGACCGCGTAAAACTTTTCGGGTGTAAAATCTTTAAGCCTTTTCTCAGATGGGATGAAGTCTTTGCAGCTCATCTATAATGATGGAATATTTCTTGTTTCGAAAATCCCCAATAAGGTCACCCTTAAGTGCAGGCGATAACATATTTTTATTAGGCATAAACATTTAGCTATATGCAATTGTATGTGCTCCAATGTACTCCCCCGACCATGTGCTCTTATAATTTCACTTAGATGATCAATTGTGCGTATTGCACAATGGCAGGTCATGCCTACAGCAAGTTGTAACTCTGCTGCCTTAAACTTTATCATTACTTTGCCTAGCAGTCACTGTTGTAACAGGCCGCGACTGGCTTTTTGGCAGAGTTTTCATCATGTGTTCATCGGATTTTTATGATTTGATATGCTACTAATTCTTGGTGCAACAGTGCTCCTGATCCGCCTGAAGATCTTTTGAGCCGTGGGTAATTTTTCTACCAGTTACTATTATACTTGCGATGTCTTAAGATGCTTTCTATTTTTTGGGGGGATGACGTGGCCATTGGTAAAGGTAAAAAAATCTATCACAGATAGAACTAGGTCTATATCCTCTCTATTTTCTGTCCTCAAGTAGTACTGAACAGTCTGAATACTTGGTATCAGTGGTGGGTTTTGGTTTTATATTCCGCATTTATTCTAGTAGGTTAACATAAATTACAAAGGGCCTGGGTTTATCGAAGTCACGATCCATTTAGGAAGACAACAAATACAAAAAGAAATGGCGCGAATCTCCGTTAGTCCGTACCAGGACATCGCAACCAAGTCAAACTGAAATAAAGATGTTAACTGTAGATCTAAATTGCTTTTAGCAAATCTTCGTGTTTCTAACGGAGGAACCATGAAGCAAATGTGAGCACATCTTGAAAAGAAAAGCCAGGAAAAACCCAAATATGCCAAAATATGGAAGTTCATTTTCTTATGCCAGTTCGATTTCAAATATGCCAGATTCCACAAAAAATGCCAATATGGCAACCCTGGTTGGACCCTGCAGACGTCATCCGGTGTCGCACTATAGATTTCAACACACTAGATTTCACCCGCATAGAGTAAACTCGCAAGAAGAGCTTTTTAGCTGCAACAGAGGACAAAACATACATTTTTTTGTGCGTGCGCGCGCAATGACATGTTAAAAAAAAAAAAAACACTGGAGTATGTCAAGACCACAGGAAATTTATAAGAAAAAAACCATCATCAAAAACCTTACCGAAATACTATTTTCGCCATATCGCTAACTTCATTTATTTATAAGTGCCAATGCTATTACTGCTACTATCACTACTGCTAGCACTACTACTACAGCTGCTATTACTACTACTACATTTACTGTTTCTTTCTGCTTATTGGAGATACTATATAATTTATTCCCGTGTGGGTTCGATAAGCGTGTCGTAAAAGCTACTAGTTAGAGGTTTGCTGAAATCTGAAGTAGTGGAATGAAAGAGGCAGATATCGCAGCTTAGTTGCAAGCAATAACACAACGTCCCAACTACACCTTTGAGGCCGAAAAGAGAAGGAGATGGAGGAGAACAAGAGGAGGGGGAGAATGTGAGGGAGAAGAAGAAGAAGAAGAAGAAGAAGAAGAAGAAGAAGAAGAAGAAGAAGAAGAAGAAGAAGAAGAAGAAGAAGAAGAAGAAGAAGAAGAAGAAGAAGAAAAAGAAGAAGAAGAAGAAGGAGAAGAAGAAGAAGAAGAAGAAGAAGAAGAAGAAGAAGAAGAAGAAGAAGAAGAAGAAGAAGAAGAAGAAGAAGAAGAAGAAGAAGAAGAAGAAGAAGAAGAAAAAGAAGAAGAAGAAGAAGAAACAGAAGAAGAAGAAACGGAAGAAGAAAACAAAGAAGAAGAAGAAGAAGAAAAAGAAAAAGTAAAAGAAAAAGAAGATCTATCTCGCGCGCGTGTTTTTCTCTCATTTTTTCTTCGTTGTCCGTCAATTTTTCTGTGTGTGTGCATGCGCGTGTGTGTGTGTGTGTGTGTGTGTGTGTTTGTTGTCAAAAACATTTGTGTTGTTGCAACGGAGTTGCTATATTTAAGGCTTTCTGTCAACATATCGATTTTTTTTTTTTTTAGACATTTGGTGGCTGTGTTAGCTTATTTCCCTTTTCCCCCTGAACCGGTAAATTAGGAGGTTTCACTTTGACGTAACTAAGAGGGGCATTCAGAGTGGTTGTGAAAATGCATGAAATTCCCCGATCACGTGGTATGCACTCTGCCAGCTGCTACGACCTAACGGCAACGAAAATTAGGAGTATGAAAGCCTTGCTTTAGTTTTTTGTTGTTGTTCACATTAATTTCGCCAGCCTCTCGACTTTCTGAAGCCTTAACCCGTTGAAACTAGCTACCAACAGTGCTCCTATCGAATGCACAACTTTACTACAAGCAAACAAATGTTTATGAATGTTAACCAGTTTTTTTCCCCGTCTTTATTTTTCTTCTCCCGTAACCTGAAATTGTAAAGAAAAAAAATGCAGCTTGGTCTTGGTCTTGGAAGTCGTAAAAAAAATTCTCGCTTCTTTTAACCTGCTCCTAAGTTAAGCCGCGGTTCTGTCAAAGCTGCGTGTTGTTGGTGGGAATTAATTTCCAATTTGCTTCTAGTTTTCACTTGGGGCGTTTCATCACGTCTGAGCTTTCTTCATACATGCCACCGGTGCTGCTTCTTGAGGTTTTTTTTTCGCTAGTTGTCAAGCCCGCCGTCATTGAGTGCACCAAGCCAGCCGCTAGGCACACCATCACGAAGTAGACGAAAGTATGCCACTGAGTCGCCATGCCACAAACAAGGCTCCCTTTCAGAGTCCCATATTTAACTAATTTTTTTTTTTTGCTTTTTTTTTAACGCATTAAACATGCGTATGTGCGTGAGCTTTTTTTTTTTTTTGTGTGTGGTGCTTTCTGTTTTTTTTTTCCCTTCTTTTTTTTCCCCATGTTTTTAATGGGTTTTTTTTTTTAGCTTGTTTGTGTGTGTGTGTGTGTGTGTAAATTTTCCCCTCTTTTCTTCTGGCCAAACATGGTTAAGAAGTAGCGGACATAAGAGTAGAAAGAGTCAATTTAAAATTGAAAGTTTTGAGGATAAGAAAACTCCACAGAGGAGCATTCACAGGAGGGTCTACCGGTTGTCCGTAGAATGTCCTTCCGTCGACAACTGTTTCGGCCTGTTACCATCCTAAACAATTTCGGAAGCTGGGCCAACCTGGTTCATGAAGCCAAGTTCCAACTGTTTGCGGCGGCAGCTGGTCTGCCTGTGGTTGAGGGCCAGAGAGATACGATGCACCTGGTACCCACTCAAAGCTGGGTCGACCTGGGAGTCAAGGTCATTTTTGAAAGAAAAAAAAAAGTCCTACTCCGTCATGACGTAAACCCATGAGCTTCTGATCCTCAGGTGGGTGTCTAGCCGCCAACGCCACGGCGACTTTAACCCTATTCTAAAAAAGGAAAAATAAATCATGGGAATTTGGCCAATGATGAGAACATACTGGGCAGATAAACAAAGTAATGAAAATGTATTGAAAGAAACTGACTCATGAAGAGAACTGATCGCCCACATCAGAAGATGACAATGTACATTCTTTGGTCATATCATGAAAGGGAGAAAACTAGAGTACAATGACAACAGTAGGAAAGTTGGAGGGAAAGCGAGGCAGAGGAAGACCAAGATAGAAGATACTGGACAGTTTGACACCATGACATGGAAGATCATCTGTGTAAACACTGATTGAAAGTACACCATACATAAATAAGGTTGTTAGTAGACATGACAACGCCACAAGTCATGGACTATATATTAAATTTGATTACTAGTTAAGGACAGTTGCGTATCCTTTACAGAACGTTGCAGAGGCAACCATAACAGACCCATGCCTTTTTAAGGCAAATTTACGTCCATTAGTTTGCCATTTCTTTCTGGGCTGATTACTAGTATCTATCAAATATTGCAAATACTGGCATTACTAATTTAACAGAACACTATTTAAATTATTGGCGGCGTTTGTGGCTTAGGCGTTGCGAGTCCGACTCGTAATTCCAACGTACCGCGATCGAAACTCACTGGTGGCTGTGTGGATTTTTATATGGGACGTCACAGGTCGATCCAGCCTCAAAAATGGGGAGCAGGATGTATGTCCTGGGCCGGCAAATCGCTGACCACATTGCCCACCTAGTGCCGATTGGTCTGTAAAACTATAGGTACTCTTCCCATATACCCGATGAGCCTAAAGGAGTGAAAAGGGATCTTTACTTTTATTTGATTCATGCCTTCTTATCCTTCACTTCTGCTTTTACCTTAGTTCAAAGTGGAACTCCAATATTCGTCACTATCCGTTTCTGAGGGAAGTATCCTAGTACTTGAGGATCACCAAACTGTTAACCTCATCCGCAACCCCTAAGCCATGGGAGCAGCAAATATTGTAAACATACAGGACTGTAAAATAATGCAAAAAAATAAAAAACTTTTTTTTTTAAAAAACAGTTTTTATTGCTTTAGCTGTCCCACCACCAAATTCATTTTTTTTTAAATGTTGAACTGAAACAGACTTAGGACGCTAATTCTTTGCGCAACAACACGACATGCTTGTGTTGTATGGTGCAGCTACGGAAGGCTTTCCTCTGGCTCCATCTCGTCATCAGTTTTCTTGAACAGTGACTGGGAGCCTTTTTCCACCTACAGACAAGGGATTTAGGTTAGGATTAATGTGAACAAACAATGAATACTCTTTTTCTTCTTTTCATTCTCCCTGTCAGTAGTTTTCAGGCGATGAGGCCATTAACCTCTAACAAGTCTGTGATGCGACACCCGTCTTTAATACTGTTTGCTTTCCATTGGAATGGGGGCCGCAGTGTTCTATCGGCTAGGCGCTCAGACAGGGATCGGAAGGTCATGGGTACCAGGTACAGTCATAGGAGTAAAGGCGGTCGGCGTGATGCTGACCACATCATCTACTAAGTGCCGTTGGTCTATAAAATATAGGTCTAGCCCTGTATGCCCAATACGCCTGAAAAGGCGTGGAAAAGGATCTTTTACTTACTTTACTTCCATTGGAATGCCAACCTAACAAACCTGGGGTCCCTCTACTGTATGTAAAGATTATGTCTGTAGTTAGTTAATTAATTGAAAGATTATCCCCACTGCACATCGGACAAGTCTGTAAGCGTTCTATTCAATCTTCACTATATCCATCAGAGTATGGCGAATAGTGACACCAGTTCTGTGTTGGTTTACTATTCTTCTTTGACTACCTGTAAAGTGTTCAAGTTCGGTGACACCTCTTTTGACCTGGAATTCTTGTATTTTAAATGCTGCCGATTCAGTGTCGTCTCTTGAAGCACTTTCTCGTTCTGCCTTCTTGAGAGCATTAAGAATGTGCCCCCGGTCCATTGCTTTTCCTATACCTGCCGTGGCCCTGCCAAGCCAGTCCGCTCATTCCTTCCCTCTTACCCCAGAGTGTCCTGGCACAAGAAATGAAACTCATTTTTTTTTTCAGACGAGATTTTCTAAACAATTCCAACCATTTTCTTTAAATCCATCCTGTCTAATATCTTCTTAAGCATGCTCATGAAATCACTTAGAAAACATGCACGGGAAAAATGCTGGGTCCCTAGCCACATCACTGATTTTGTTACCGCCATTACCTTCATAGTCTGACTACTTGTAATCGAGGCAAAAGACCCACTATCTTCTTTTACAGTTTTCCCTTGAACCAGAATCGTGAAAGCCCACGAACTGTGTACGTGTCGAACAATGGATCCATCAGTGTAGATAACTGCACGTTCATCAGAATTTTCAAGAAATATGGCTTGAACTTCTGCCTCAACCATCAAGAGACCTTGTTGTCAGCAATCTCTACCCAGTTTTATTTGATCAGCATGTCTGTAACACGTGTTCAGTATTCTGTGGTGCCTGGCCACACGGGCAATGAATTTCTTGTACACATGGCTGCAGTCGTTTGACGCCAGTGCGTAATCTTTTTCTAATGGCAGAAGAAATTAATATGACCTATTCTGTCTATTTATATGACTTTCCATGTCACTCGTATCCCAGGTCAGTTTACACTCCTTCATTTCCCTTTCTTTTGTCCTTCTCCAGGTTTCCTTAGGTCATACGCCTTTCCTTTTTTTTTTTTTTTTGTCCTTGCTAAAGTGCCATAAGGCATTCTACAAACATGTCCAAAAATCCCCATATTTTTTCTTTGATACTGTTTGGAAGAAACCAACATTTTGACCTCCTCAGAATATGATGCACTGACAAAAAGTATCTTCTTCTTCTTCTTTGTTAACTGGCTGTAAACTCCGGCGGAAAATCCTGATTGTTCGTCCATTTGAACTTCGGCTTTGTGTTAGGGCCTGAGTTTTGCAAGTACATCCATTTTACTGACTTATTTGTGTGCAGTTGTTCCTTGCCTCTCGGGCAGATGTACTCTGTCTTCGAAGGAAGTCCCCAAATAGTCGTCTCTTATGACATGCTTGTTAGGGAGGAAGTGGGTCTATTCTTGTTTTCCCCCATAATGGGGCCTCGAAATTGATAACAGTAACCAGGCTTTATAACTGTTTTCAGGTATCAAGTGATAAGACAGGCAAACCCAGCCATTAAGAAAATTAAGAACATCTTGTGCAACAAATTCCTGTCATTAGACGTCAGAATTTCTTGATCCCTCAAGTTCACCGGCTGTAAACTGGGGTGGAAAGTTTTAGTTCTTCATCCATTTTTGGACTTTAGTCTTGTTTCACAACCTGAGTTTTGTGTGCACAACCGTTTTACAGATCTGGTTACTTTGTTATGCAGTTGGATTGCCTCACCCGTAGATTAACTTAAAATTCGAAAGAAATACTTCTGATTAGTCAAATTGGGCGAAATGCTTGCTGGGTGCAGTAAGTGTTTTTTCGTTATAAAGGGGCTCTGGAAACCATACGGGGGAATGATGATGATAAATACCAATCTTTAGTCGACTTTTACGACATGCTTGTTAGGTTAGGAGTGGCTCTATTCTTGCTCCCCTTACAAAGGAGTCCCAGAATTCATACCAGGAGATGATGATGATGATGAATATCAGAATACCAACCTTTCGTGTGTTACAATAATCATCAAATCTATCTGGGAAGTGCCGAATCCTGTTGTCACTGATGTCCATTTTCACAATCTTGCTGAGCATTTTGATGCCTTCCGGAAGGGCAGAGATGAGGTTGTCATGCACGTCCAGCTCCCTGAGGTTGATCATCATGTGGATGTCTTCAGGAAGCGCCTTCAGGTGGTTGCATGCGATGTTCAGGGTCTGCAGCCTGTGTGGGTTGTCCAACAAAAAGTGTCAAGACATGAGACAGACACTGTGATGTGACGTTAAATGGTACAGGGAGATTTCGCTAAACATCGGCGCGTTCCGTTGCTTTGCTAGAAGAAAAATAATCGTCACGTTTGACCAGCATGGAGGAGCTTTAGGTTACAATTGTGACAGGTTATTTGTGCCACTTAGAATAGCTTATCAGTGCATGCCGCCAAATAGCTCTGAAAAGAACACTTGCGGTGTTGATGCGATCGAGGAAGACAGACCCAAACGAAGTCGGCTACCGGACAGCTAGTGGGAGACACGGTTGCCAATGTGCCATCGGCGAGTTCTTGACTCATACTTTTATAGACCAACTGGCACTTAGTCGGTGATATGGTAAACATCAAGACGGCCACCTTTACTTCCCAGGACATTCTCTGGTATCAATTTTAGGCTGGTTAGACCTGTTAGCCATGAGTATACTACTCATTAAAATTCAAGGGCCACATTATAATTTTAAATACACTTTTATGGTTGGGGAAAGTTTTTAGTAAAAAACCAAAATGGGTGCAATATCTCCCTATGTACATGAAGCATGAAAACAACTCACTGACAACTATGATGACTCATACTCTTACACGTGTGATGGCATCTGTTCATGAACAAAGTTCACTCTCAATTTGTTTAACAATCAGCAAACTTGGGATTGTTTCATCACTTGCAAGAACCATACAATTGAGAAGAGGTCTTGACAATTTACAAAGAATGAGGACTATAGCCTGGGTTGAAAGTGGCTTATCTATCCGTGAATTTGCTAGACAGCTTGCAGTGTCACACTGTACTATCCAAAGAATTTGGGAGAGATTACAGGCACAGGAAAGATGGAAGATCGCAACTGGCCTGGTCGCCCTCGATGCACCAAAAGACATGATGACCAGTATCTCTTGTTGTCAGCCCTGTATCATCGAACGGTGACTTGTTTCACTCTAAAATGTCAGCTGAAACAATCTGTAAACGTTAATATCAATCAAAGTAGCATTTACAGATGTTTACATGAATTTTGACTTGCTGATCAACATCCTGCAATCAGAATCACTTTTAGTCCCGCTCACCGAAAATCCCATGTTGCTTCGTGTCCTGGGCACATCTGATGGACAAGGCAACACTGCTGAATCTGGTTTTATTGTGTCATTCAAAGATGGCAGGATTCGCGTTTGGAGACAACCAGGAGATCAATTTACTGACGACACAATTCGAGAGGTGGATCGTTATAACATGAGCTATGTCATGGTCTGGGAAGGCTTCTGCACAACAGGCAGACTGCACACTACATCATTCAAGGTAACTTGTCCGGCCCAAAGATACCAGAAGAAAATCTTCAGACCAGTTGTTCAGCCTGTTCTGTAGGCCATATGTGGTAATGCCATCCTCCAAGATGATAATGCTTGACCCCATCGAGCTTGTGTGGTGAATGACATTTTTCAGCAACTCTGGATCATCAGTATGGCATGGCCAGCTCATTCATCTGACCGAGCACAAGCGCGCGCATGTATTTCTAGAAATTGACTAATCACTAGCATTCTGCAAACAATTTGTTTTTTTACTAATGTATAGCTTACCACTGCCCTGAACCAATAAACGCCCCAACCTGCACAGTCCGTGGTAACAGTAACAGTCATGCGGCCCTAAATCCTCAGACTCATGGGGGGGGGGGGGGGGTTCCCATAAACATGTAGATTTTCATCCAATGAAACACAGAGATGTGTCTCTTCAACTTGGCACCAGAAAATACTAGGCATGTACTACAACAATGTCAACTGTATTCTACTAACTGAGAAGCAATCTGCCCTGTTCCGACCTCAGTGAAGACAAAGCTGTATGGTACACAGGGAGATATGGACTTCCTCAAGCTACAGGCCTCCTGTTAAAACTTTTCTGACAAAAGGATAGAAGAAGATAGAGTGAAACCCCAGAATTTAGGGCCAGCAGTAGAGCGTCTAACCGCTCAACCAGTGCGGCTCCCATACCTGTACAAGCAGGCCATATCTTCTGAAATGTCCATCAGAAAATTAGTATGCAGATCCAGCAGCAGAAGGGAACCGAGGACGTCTATGCGCTCTTCAGGAAACTTTTTGATCTGGTTATTTCTCAGGTTGAGGAAGGTCAAATGATTCATTCTCTTGAAGTGCTCAGGCAGTTCCGTGAGGAAGTTAAATGAGAGGTCTAGGTGTTTCATGTTGGCGCACTGAAAATGGTTTAAAAAAAAAAACGAAAAAATTTCAACATTATCTTATAGCAAGTCCCAATAACTGTAAAAGACAATTCAGCGTACCTTGTAAAATTGAAAAAAAAAAAAAAAAGTGAAATGCAATTCAGTACCACTTTGCAGCAAGCACAAAATTAGTATAGAGCCATTCACCGCTTTCTTTTAGCTCTAAAAATAGTAATTAGCAATTTAGTAACTTCTTATAGCAGCGATTACAAAATAGTAAAGATCAATTCAGCAAGCGCTGCTAAAAAGAAAACAGCAAGTGAATGTTACCATGAAGTACTCAAATACAGTCATTACTTCAACAGGTGATTTCCCTTCAAGACAAAAACTGTGGAGAGGAATAGATACCCATACCACATGAATACAAGCATTACTTTGTGGTGGTTATCACTCTAACAAGACAGTGCCGTGATTTGGCGCCACTAATAGTTGATGCAGATGTGAAAGCATTGTTGGAGAAACACACATCATCGGAAGATGCTCTTATACACAGAGATTGTTCTGTAATTCGTCAGAAGCAAAGTGCATGGGCTTTCACGGCAAGAACCAATGGGAAAGTCTTTCAAGAAGACAGTGGAGCTTTTGCTTCTACTACCAGCAGCATGACAATGAAGTTGACAGCTGTGACAAAGGCTCTAGAATGGCTAAAAACTCAGAAGTTCACCAACGTATGTTTGCTCAATGACTCAATGAGCAAGCTACAGAAGATCAAGGCCAGGACATTCAGAAACAGTAGCCCCCATCTGATCCAGCAAGCAAAATCACCCCCATTTTTTGTCCCAAGGTACGATGAGAGAGCAGAGGCACTAGCTGGCAGTGCAACTATCAGAATGGGCCCTCTTTGGGAAAGAGAGACATCATCAATGCTACACGAGAGACTAAACCCTGTAAAGCTTTCAGTTTCGTAGAAAAATGATTTTTCACTGAATAGACGGCATATCCTCAGTCTACCAACAAGAGCAGCAAGATGGGAAAACCATGCGGGATCCGCCCATCATTAAATCAACCAGAACAGAATGGGAGTTGTTGGCCTAAAAATGCTTAGAGGAGGAGATCGGAGCACTTATGATCATGTACGATGTGTGATCTCTAAAATGAACAATGAACTCAAAAAATAAAGAGTAAAGAGCCATTTAGCGCTTTCCTGTAGCACTAAAAATAGTAAAAGAGCATTTAAGTACTAACATGTAGCACTAAAATAATAGAGAACAGTACAATGCTCCCTTTCATCTCAATAAAAAAAAAAATTATAAAGGGAAATTCAACGCTGTCGTGTAGCTCTAAAAATAGTAAAGGGCAATTCAGCACTGACTAACACTAAAATATACTAAAGAACAATTCAGTGCTTTCTTTCAGCTCTTTAAAAACTGTAAAGAGCAGTTTAGCACCACCTTTTAACAATAAAACAAATTAAAGAGCAATTCAATGCTTTCTTTCAGGTCCATAACGATTGTAAAGAGCGATTTGGCGTTATCTCATAGCATTATACATAGTAAAAAGCAATAAACACTGAACTAAAATGAATTAACTCTTTCACTACCAAACAATTTATCACACATTTCTTGGCCATTCGAAAAGATAATATGATGCTGTTGCGGTTTTGCATCACACACAAATGTAAAGTTAGTTAATCGACTGATAATCCTCACTGACCACTGAACAACTTCACAAGCCCTTGGATCCCATCTTCAGTGTCTCCTTGGCGTGTGGCAACTAATAAAACCAGTTCTTTGCTGGTTTATTATTCTTGTTTTTCTGTTGTTGGTTTTTTTTAAGTATTTTGTTCGTACTTGGTAACAATTATTTCAACATGAAGTTCTTGTAGTCTTGTCAAGGTCATCTACTCATCCTACTTCCTTGAGAGGACTGAGATCATCGATCAAGTTCATTGCTTTTCCCGTCTCTAACGTAGTATTTCAGCAAAGCGGTCCACTCATTCGTTCCCTCTTACCACAAAGCATCCTGGCACAAAAATGAACCTGATTCCTGTCAGACAGAATTTCCCCCTGAGACTTCAACCACTGTCATTTACACACTGTCTTTAACACAGATCGTTGCGAGTCCGACTCGTAATCCAACGTACCGCGATCGAAACCCACTGCGGGCTGCATGGATTTTTATCGTGTTATGGGACGTCGCAGGTCGACCCAGCCTAGAATGGGTACCAGGATGGGCTGTCCTGGGAAAATAAAGACAGCTGGCGTAATGCTGACCACATTACCCACCGAGTGCTGATGGTCTGTAAAAATATGGGCGCTCTTCCTTTATGCCCGATACGCCTAAAGGCGTGGAAAGGGATCTCTTTTTTTTAAAACACAGATGTTATATTACGCCTCTGCATTTATTAGTTCAACAACTTCTGAAGCATTGTGTTTCTGTTAAACTGTCATTTACACACTGGTCTTTAACACAGATGTTCTATTACGCCTCTGTATCTGAATTATTAGTTCAACAACTTCTGAAGCATTGTGTTTCTGTTAAACTGTCATTTACACACTGTCTTTAACACAGATGTTCTATTACGCCTCTGTATCTGAATTATTAGTTCAACAACTTCTGAAGCATTGTGTTTCTGTTAAACTGTCATTTACACACTGTCTTTAACACAGATGTTCTATTACGCCTCTGTATCTGAATTATTAGTTCAACAACTTCTGAAGCATTGTGTTTCTGTTAAACTGTCATTTACACACTGTCTTTAACACAGATGTTCTATTACGCCTCTGTATCTGAATTATTAGTTCAACAACTTCTGAAGCATTGTGTTTCTGTTAAACTGTCATTTACACACTGTCTTTAACACAGATGTTCTATTACGCCTCTGTATCTGAATTATTAGTTCAACAACTTCTGAAGCATTGTGTTTCTGTTAAACTGTCATTTACACACTGTCTTTAACACAGATGTTCTATTACGCCTCTGTATCTGAATTATTAGTTCAACAACTTATGAAGCATTGTGTTTCTGTTAAACTGTCATTTACACACTGTCTTTAACACAGATGTTCTATTACGCCTCTGTATCTGAATTATTAGTTCAACAACTTCTGAAGCATTGTGTTTCTGTTAAACTGTCATTTACACACTGTCTTTAACACAGATGTTCTATTACGCCCTCTGTATCTGAATTATTAGTTCAACAACTTCTGAAGCATTGTGTTTCTGTTAAACTGTCATTTACACACTGTCTTTAACACAGATGTTCTATTACGCCTCTGTATCTGAATGATTAGTTCAACAACTTCTGAAGCATTGTGTTTCTGTTAAACTGTCATTTACACACTGTCTTTAACACAGATGTTCTATTACGCCTCTGTATCTGAATTATTAGTTCAACAACTTCTGAAGCATTGTGTTTCTGTTAAACTGTCATTTACACACTGTCTTTAACACAGATGTTCTATTACGCCTCTGTATCTGAATTATTAGTTCAACAACTTCTGAAGCATTGTGTTTCTGTTAAACTGTCATTTACACACTGTCTTTAACACAGATGTTCTATTACGCCTCTGTATCTGAATTATTAGTTCAACAACTTCTGAAGCATTGTGTTTCTGTTAAACTCCTTTAGGCCAACGTATTTATTGCATACAGTGGACAGAAAACTGCTGTCTCTATTTACCAAGCTTGCAGTGTAGGCTAGAGGGGTCTCTGAGGTGACGATTTGGGGCAGCCTTGTTAGTGATATCACCAAGCTTGCAGTGTAGGCTAGAGGGGTCTCTGAGGTGACGATTTGGGGCAGCCTTGTTAGTGATATCACCAAGCTTGCAGTGTAGGCTAGAGGGGTCTCTGAGGTGACGATTTGGGGCAGCCTTGTTAGAGATATCACCAAGCTTGCAGTGTAGGCTAGAGGGGTCTCTGAGGTGACGATTTGGGGCAGCCTTGTTAGTGATATCACCAAGCTTGCAGTGTAGGCTAGAGGGGTCTCTGAGGTGACGATTTAGGGCAGCCTTGTTAGTGATATCACCAAGCTTGCAGTGTAGGCTAGAGGGGTCTCTGAGGTGACGATTTAGGGCAGCCTTGTTAGTGATATCACCAAGCTTGCAGTGTAGGCTAGAGGGGTCTCTGAGGTGACGATTTAGGGCAGCCTTGTTAGTGATATCACCAAGCTTGCAGTGTAGGCTAGAGGGGTCTCTGAGGTGACGATTTAGGGCAGCCTTGTTAGTGATATCACCAAGCTTGCAGTGTAGGCTAGAGGGGTCTCTGAGGTGACGATTTGGGGCAGCCTTGTTAGTGATATCACCAAGGACTGTGCAGATTAGGATTTTAGATTTTGCTGCCTGACAGAAAAGAAAAAATGACCCCAGCACCGCACCAAGGCTTCGAACACAAGTCTCCCACATAAGAACCCGCCATTTTTATTTAATCCGCTATTTATCTGTTTTTCTTCTTCTTCTCTTCAACCATTTACCTTAGCGAGGTATTGCGTTAGATGTAAGGAACATTTGTTGTGCACTTTTCCCAATACATTGTACAAGCTGGTATTAATTTATGTTAGGTTGCTTCAGATGATGTCGCTCCATCTCTTGTCATTGCTCTTTTATAAACTGTATGACTAGTTTCAGTTCTAGTCTTCTTCTGATTTTATCATTCTTGATTTAATCTCTTCTTGGCACACCAGCAGCTCTCCTAACACTTCTCATCTCTGTTGTTACAATCTTCCGCTCATTAGTTGTAGTAAGGGTCCATTTTTGGCACTGGTAGCACAATATCAGTCAAAAAAACCGTTCTTATGAGATTTGCTTTGGTTGACAGAGATATCTTTCTATGGTTAAGAAGAGGTGATAATTGCCCCATAATCTAATTTGCTTTCAAACATCGTATGTTGATTTCTCTATCCATTCTTCCATCTCTTATCTGTTATACAAATTCATGTCAAAGATTAGGTCATTGCCCTAGGTTATCCTGTATAACCCGATCCCTCTCCGGTGAATGGTTTACTACCAGCATCATATCCCCAACGCGGCACTGTCAGAAAAGTGGTTATTATTATAATTTGTTGTTGTTGTTGCTGTTGAACTGTAAACCAACCTTGACAATATTGAAAGGAAGAGAACTGAGGGAATTCCTTGACAGGTCTAGGAACTCCAGGTGATGTAGCAGATCTATAAAAGCCGGAATCTCTGAGATGTCATTTCTGTTTGCATCGATAATCCTGAGATTTCTGCATTTTTTAAACAATGCATCCGGAAGAGTTGCAATCTGAAGGGAGAGAAACAACAACAAATAAGCATCAAGCACAATTGAATGAATGAATAATCAAGAATTGACATCACTGAACTTGGGCGCTCCTTAACGTGCTCCATTCCATTCCTCGGTAGCCAACAAAGAGTTAAAATGGTGCCTACTGCAGCTTGTTTACAAGTTCGCCGGTCTTTTCCCCTGTGCGTTGAAACCTCTCAGACCATCCTCCTACTCCTTGCTGAATCAGCCTTTCAAGGTTTCATGGCACCATCCATCTGATCCTAGACAACCTTCTCCATGTGCACCTTATTAGAAAGTAGTCCACCCGTCCAGAGGTGCGGCAGCAGCCAATCTACGTCTTTTAGTTACCTGGCACACAAGAAAGTCCTGGGCAACAAATCCAAGGTGGGTTACTGATCTGAATATTCCAGCATATTTGTAATGAATAAATGTCATGAGTAACATTACCTCTGTCTCTAACTGTTCTTGGGAGCCACCTTCCTGTAGCGGTTTGACTCTCCTGATGATAGGAAGGTCATGGATTCAAATCTGGACAGAACCTTCCTTTTTCAAAAATGATCTTGGCTCCCAGATCGACCCTGCTTTGAGTGAACCAGGTAAAGTATTTGGAAGTAAAGGTGACTGGCATGAAGTTGAACACATCACCCAACGAGTGCCAATTGGTCTTTAAAATAATCGGTCTATAACTGTAAAATCTATGGAAGCACCTATGGATCTGTCCAGACGGCTGTGATGATAATCATCACTCATCTGCCGTTCAAAGTCAGCTGCTGGGAACCAGGAAACAGGCCGCTTAATGTTGATTCTGACAACCGAACGAGCATCCGTGAGTTCAGACAACAGCAAGCTAGTAACTGTAAAAATTAAGGAAATAAGTTCGCCCAGGAGAAAACCTGAGGCGATCTTTGAGGAGAGAGGCGAAGAGATTATATTTATCATATCGCAAAAAATTACACAACATAAGCATGGAAACGCAAAGAGGCAGAAGAATGTCAAGAAGACAATGGAGTTAACAATTTGCTGAAACTCAACAATATCACCAGGCAGCAAGTTAATGAGCGTGCACTATCCCAAAAACCGATCATTAGCGGGCCATATGTGACACAAAATGACTTCGTGGGATGACGATGATGAGGATGATGCACGTAAAATTGCCCGGTAAATCGTATATATAAATGAAAATGAAAATAATCTACAAATGTTAGGGTTGGAGTGCAACATATTTTAAATTGTATGCCCTCTGTAGCAAATCACCACTATTTGCAAGATACCATTTATAAACCATATATTTATATATGATGTGTTGGGAAATGATTGGCAGACAAACCACCACTGTTTGCAAGCTAACATTTATAAACCATATATTGATATATGATTTGTTGGAAAATGATTGGCAGACAAACCACCACTATTTGCAAGCTACCATTTATAAACCATATATTGATATATGATGTGTTGGGAAATGATTGGCAGACAAACCACCACTATTTGCAAGCTACCATTTATAAACCATATATTTATATATGATGTGTTAGGAAATGATTGGCAGACAAACCACCACTATTTGCAAGCTACCATTTATAAACTATATATTTATATATGATGTGTTGGGAAATGATTGGCAGACAAACCACCACTGTTTGCAAGCTACCATTTATAAACCATATATTTATATATGATGTGTTAGGAAATGATTGGCAGACAAACCACCACTATTTGCAAGCTACCATTTAGAAACTATATATTTATATATGATGTGTTAGGAAATGATTGGCAGACAAACCACCACTGTTTGCAAGCTACCATTTATAAACCATACATTTATTTATGAAGTGTGGGGAAATGATTGGCAGACAAACCACCACTGTTTGCAAGCTACCATTTATAAACCATATATTTATATATGATGTGTTAGGAAATGATTGGCAGACAAACCACCACTATTTGCAAGCTACCATTTATAAACCATATATTTATATATGATGTGTTGGGAAATGATTGGCAGACAAACCACCACTGTTTGCAAGCAACCATTTATAAACCATACATTTATTTATGAAGTGTTCGGAAATGATTGGCAGACAAACCACTACTATTTGCAAGCTACCATTTATAAACCATATATTTATATATGATGTGTTGGGAAATGATTGGCAGACAAACCACTACTATTTGCAAGCTACCATTTATAAACCATATATTGATATATGATGTGTTGGGAAATAATTGGCACACAGATTTACTGGCTCTGCTCAATTGGTGGAATACTGATGTGTGGTTAAGGCCTCATGGAAGCACGGTACAATTCGGAACAGCAAAAATGAACAAGTCTTGTGAGAGTGATGCAGCGATGAGTGACAAGGGGATCTGGCCGATACTCGACGCTTGGAGTAAAAGCAAGACGGATATATAATCAAACTGCTACTGGCACCATTGGTATTAGAACTCTGCGCTGGCTGCTGAAGATGGGGACTTATGGGAATGCCCCAAGCGCTGTGATGTAGATTCTTAAATCATCTCAGCTATTCATATCTGTACATTTATATATGTTAGTTGTTAGTTCCAGTTTTATAGCATACAGGTCACCCAAGAAAACTCCATCAGTTTGCCAGTGACACCCACATACACAGATAATACCTACTACAACTGTTCCCTGTTAAATGTTGATCACACACAAGTCATGGCAAAGCAAACAGCATAGGCACATATTTTTTTTGACACCAGAAAACCATGAGCTGTGAACCCTTTGGCTCGGTACTATGGATATGGCAACCCTTCGGCCTTGATTCCATGATAGATGCCGTAAATCTGGAAAATATGTGCCCTTTCTGCCTACACCCGATCGTGAACTGATTTAACCAACTTAGCTAATGCGCTGGGCTTATGTACACATATTAAATGCTTACTGCAGCCACCAGAAGTGCCAATACCATCCGTCCTTTAAAATTGTATATGTTCTCTCATGTAACAAACTCATTATTATGGATGTAAAACACCAACCCTACCTTACATTTGGCAATCTTGAGCGTGTGTAGGAATTTCAGATGCAAAATGCTGTCTGGAAACCCATGCAGTATAATACTGTTTAAGTTCAAACTGGTTATTCTTTTTGCATGTTCCTTTTTGGACAAGCTTGTTATAATGGACTTTGGACCATCGATGCTAATTGGATTGTCTCCAACATTGAAGATCTGCAATAACGGAAAACACTATGTGACAAAATACAAAGATATGTTATCTAGTTATCCACTCTTCAAATCCTAATATCACGGATTAAACTTGAACAATTCACCTTCATGAGAGGATACATTAAGTCCGGGGTTTAAGATACATACTACCGCTACAGAATACCTGAATTCTTATTTAGAAGATACTGCCACAACAAAATACGTTAACTCTGGGATTCTGTTGACTTTGAGAGTATTTGTGGCTACCATATACTATGTTAACTCTGAAGTTTCAGATAGTGCCAAAATAGAACATAATGACTCTGAGATTTCAGATAGTACCACACCAGACAATGTTAACTCTGAAATGTCATTTTTTGCCATCATATATTATTTTAACTCTGGGATTTCAGAAACTGCAACCAGAGACTATATAAACTAAGATTTCATTTACTGCTGAGTATGATTATTCTAGTCTTCTTCTTCTTTCGTTCGCCTGCAATAAGTTGTCTATATCAGCAATTTTGTCTCCTGTTTAAATTTCACTGTCGTTGTTAGTTCATTGAGTGGTCCATAGAGTTTATGTTTATTCTAGTGTTTCAGATATTGCCATCAAAGAATACCACTTTAATCTCATGGGGGCTTAGTTTCAGCTCCCAGTCACCAAAGAGGGCCCATGTCTGCACTTTATTTTCTGGTTTCTGTGTGCTATTTGGTTACAACACTGGTCGGTTAGGGCAATATAGATAGAATAGATGGGCTGATGACCCAATAACTGTGGTCTGCCGTGCTCTGTTTGATGTTAGAATAGAATCTTGGGGGTAATTGGGCCTGTCCTATGGCTCCAAGTCTTAAATCCAGAGATGAACAAAAACCAGAACTTTCCGTCGGAGATCGCAGCCAGTGAACGCCGCTAAGGAGGAGGAGATGAAGAAGAAAGAAGAAGAAGAAAAAGAAGAAGAGGAGGCAGCAGCAGCAGAAAAAGAAGAAGAAAAAGAGGAAGAACAAGAAGAAGAAGTAGGAGAAGGAGAAGAAAAGAAGAAGAATATTAAAATACCACAATATAACATAGGTGGTACACCTACCGTCACCTTCTTTTTTCTTCTTCTAAGCAAAACTGTTTTGAGTGTTAACAGACACTTTGAGGAACCTAACAGCACTTTCACTTTAAGACGCTTTTTGGTGAGTACCAAGAAAAAAGTTCTGATTAGTGCTATCTATTATTTTAATATTATAATTTTTATTATTACATCATCATCATCATATTAATTTTCTCATCATCAGCATTTTTTATTGTTATCATCATCATCATCATATTAATTTTCTCATAATCAGCATTTTTTATGGGTAAACATCATCATCATTATTACTATCATTTATTGATTATTTGTATTAGTACTATTCTCTTGCTTTTTTTTTTACGCCTTCATACATCATTGAATGGACTCTATGCTACCGGCATTAGGAAGCTGGTTTGCAATGCCTAAGCCTCAGCCCCCAACACTTACAGATGACTAATGACAAATTTACATTATAATTATAGATGACTAATGACAAATTTACATTATAACTATAGATGACTAATGACACATTTACATTATAACTTTAGATGACTAATGACAAATTTACATTATAACTATAGATGACTAATGACAAATTTACATTATAACTATAGATGACTAATGACAAATTTACATTATAACTATAGATGACTAATGACAAATTTACATTATAACTATAGATGACTAATGACAAATTTACATTTTAACTATAGATGACTAATGACAAATTTACATTATAACCGTAGATGACTAATGACAAATTTACATTATAACTATAGATGACTAATGACAAATTTACATTATAACTATAGATGACTAATGACAAATTTACATTATAACTATAGATGACTAATGACAAATTTACATTATAACTATAGATGACTAATGACAAATTTACATTATAACTATAGATGACTAATGACAAATTTACATTATAACTATAGATGACTAATGACAAATTTACATTATAACTGTAGTTGACTAATGACAAATTTACATTATAACTATAGATGACTAATGACAAATTTACATTATAACTGTAGATGGCTAATGACAAATTTACATTATAACTATAGATGACTAATGACAAATTTACATTATAACTGTAGATGACTAATGACAAATTTACATTATAACTATAGATGACTAATGACAAATTTACATTATAACTATAGATGACTAATGAGAAATTTACATTATAACTGTAGATGACTAATGAGAAATTTATATTATAACTATAGATGACTAATGACAAATTTACATTATAACTATAGATGACTAATGACAAATTTACATTATAACTATAGATGACTAATGACAAATTTACATTATAACTATAGATGACTAATGACAAATTTACATTATAACTGTAGATGACTAATGACAAATTTACATTATAAACTATAGATGACTAATGACAAATTTTACATTATAACTGTAGATGACTAATGACAAATTTTACATTATAACTATAGATGACTAATGACAAATTTACATTATAACTGTAGATGACTAATGACAAATTTACATTATAACTATAGATGACTAATGACAAATTTACATTATAACTGTAGATGACTAATGACAAATTTACATTATAACTATAGATGACTAATGACAAATTTACATTATAACTGTAGATGTCTAATGACAAATTTACATTATAACTATAGATGACTAATGACAAATTTACATTATAACTATAGATGACTAATGTCAAATTTACATTATAACTATAGATGACTGATGACAAATTTACACTATAACTATAAATGACTAATGACAAATTTACATTATAACTATAGATGACTAATGACAAATTTACATAATAGCTATAGATGCCTGGCACACAATATACATTTTGGCCAAAGTGCTGACCTCTATAGTCTCTGGTAAATAGCCTTCTGTCAGCTTGTTGTTCTCAAAGTCCAGTTCACAGATATGTTCCAAATAGTCCATTGTTGACGGCAGAGTGGACACCTTGTTGTTGCCGAGACGGAACACTTCCAGCGTTTGTATCAACCTCAAATCATCCGGAATCTTAGTCACTCTAAAAGTAAATAATTGTCAAGAAGGCAATGGTCAATCATAGTCACTGAAAAAGTAATGAATTGTAAATGAGGCAAATGATATACATTTGTGTGTAATTATACAAAAATAATAATATTAAAACAAAAATGATAGCACTAATTAGGGCTGTACCGAATAGTGATTTTCACTATTCGGCCGAATACGAATACGAATGGTGTATCATCATCATCAGGTACCTTGCCGACTGGCGTGAGCGATCATGCCTCTCCACAATCTGCTATCTCCTGCAGCATGTATCAGTTCGTGTGCTGACACACATTCATGCCATGCAACAAGACTGTCAAGAATCTTCTCTCGTTGTCTTCCTCTATCCCTCATTCCACAGATCTTTCCAGTAGTCACCAAATGTTCCATTTTCCCCTCTTCTCATAACATGGCTGAAAAATGACGACTGTCTCCTTCTGATGTCTGTGATGATTAGTTGTCTTCGGGCTCCCGCCTCTTTCAAAACCATCGTTTTCTCGACCGTTCGTTCGATGTAATTTAAACGCACCTTCATATTCTCGTTAGCAATATCTTCAAATTTGATTTGGGCGAAGACACCCTAAAAGAACAAAAAAATGCATGATCTCTCCCCCCCCCTCTCTCTCTCTCTCTCTCTCTCTCTCTCTCTCTCTCTCTCTCTCTCTCTCACACAGACATACACTCACACACACACGCACACACACTGCGGTTGGCATTTTATGCAGTTTGTAACACGCAACCGGGTCGCAGTTTCCCCCGCTACGAAAGACTTAGGCAACAGCAACTATTGTGTTAATGAGAGAGTTATTTTAGTCCATCACAGTGTATGCAGAAACGGGAGTAAGGTAACCACTATTCGTATTCGGCCCGACCGCAACTATTCGGCCGAATACCGAATGGTTATTAGGTCCACTATTCGGCCCCGAAACGAATACGAAGCGAATATTCGGTACAGCCCTAGCACTAATACAAATGTATGTTCTTGTTAACTCTTTGCTACTAATGCAGACTTAGAAAATTAGATTAGTCATCCCCTTGTGGGATGCAATTTTTCGTTATTTTGAAGCCCCCACCCTTGTTCTTGCCAGGGGCCACAATATAGCCTGACCATAAATATAGTCTAATGGCTGAACGCGGTTTCCTGAACTTCTCCACGGGTCATCCTCATCCATATGGTGGCACTTTGTGTCATCGGATGTTTATCGCTTGTGTGATGTCCCAGTGGAGTAAAACGTTCTTCTACTACTACTACTACTACTACTACTACTACTACTACTACTACTGTCACGAGACGATCTCAGTGATTCCAGAAGTTAGTACTTGTAATAAGTTCTTCTGGTTCTAAAGAGACAGAATTATATTTACTCTGCGCTTTATCCTAATATTGCTTTAAACCGCACGGATTTAAATTGTTTCCAGTCCTTAGTCCAGACAAAGCGACTCAGTCTTGGGTAATGTTACACAATTACACCGGGGCTAGAGAATTCCCTTTCACATGCCCATGTCATAAATGTTATCTCCTGACCAGACTGCTTTGAACAGACTTTTGATGAGACTAGGGGTGTAGGTTTGATTCTCACGCCAGTGTCATAATGTTATCTCCTAACACAGCCTGAGTGGGGCCCTTTTGAACAGGGGAATTGAGCGGACTGTAGACATTGAGGCGAGGAGAAGTTTAAAGTTTAACACGTCAGTGTAATTCGGGGTAAACTAGATTGGGGCACTTAAGAATGTTTGCTCTAGGGATGTCAGTCCATAATTGACTGACAGGCCACTTGTTAGCTAATGTGATTTGATAGGTACTTCGGAGGAGGAGCTTAAGCCATCATCTTGAGGGTTGGGTAAAAACTAAGGAAAGGGAGGAGTTTAATTTGGACAATAGATTAATACTTATACTGCGAGCCTGTGGAATTCCCGTCATTAATCGCAGCCTGCCGGCAAACAAACAGGTCGACGTAAAGGTATATTTTACTGTCGTACTCTGGTTTGGCGATAAATGGGAAGTTCCCAGGTGAGAGAAAATATTAATTTTAATCTTGTATACTTAGGTTAGGGAGTTAAGCTTAGTCTTTACTACCTTTTCCTAATTTGTCTGCACATTCTGCTTGAAATAGTTCTGTGAGTATTCAGTATCTCAAGTTAAGGAACTGCGAAACTATTCCTATTTCCTGTATGTTTGTGTCACATGTTTTTCATTGTATGTTTTCATGTGTATAAAATAAGATGTGAACAATGACATTTGCTATAATGAAATGTAATTATATTGTTTTCACGATCAGCCAAAATATGAGTTGGGACTGTGGGAAATGATGCCCAAATATGTGCAGGGATGCTGCTACGTTTTGTGTGCCCACCATGTGCTCACTTAATGTGTTCACCTGAACAGGGGATTTATAAACCCAGGGTTAGAATGATGGGTGTACAGTATTCACGGTCACTGAAAGCTAATATTCAGGACAGCGTGCACATATATAATGTTTTCAGCACATAACCTGCTCCACGTGGTCATGTAATATCTATGTCAGCCAACTCGAAGTCTGAGTGAAGACGGACAACAGACTTAGAAAGTCAACTATCATGACATAGCATTTGAGGGAAGGCAGGATATGTGACGCCCATGTAAGACAAAAGACCTTCAGACTAGACTGGAGAGGATGTGGAATATGAGGAGGAGTGATGGGCTATATCTTATTACTATATCCTATTGTTATATGTTGTATTAATTGATACATGTATTCTTAGTGTAAGTCAAGATACTACACGTATGTGTTTTGTTTCCATGATTACAGCGCCCATGTGACGATCAGTCCATGAAGTAGCCTACATTGTGTTAGACTCGGCCAGCTGGGAACGAGGGGGAGAACGAGGTGGGGGCGAGAAGGAGAAACAAGCAGGGAAGAAGCTGGAAGAGGAGGAAGAGCTTGACAGTGCTCACGGCTGTCAGAGGTTCTATGAAACTTGAGTTATGTTCATAAATTGTTCATACTTTATCACCTTCATCACACCACTCTAATCCCAGGTGCTGTTCTCGCGCTGAAACAACCCATTACTATCATAACTTTAGCTAGTCACTGTTTGTGTAAACACAAAAAACTGGGTATGTCAATTAACTGATTGTTAGAAAATAAAGCTGTATGTCAAGTTTTATACTACATCGTTTGTTAAATTCCAAGTGTATTCAGTCTTACCTGTTTAACTAAACATAGATAGAATTACATTTGGTGGGGGCTCAATTAATAATATAATAATTCTTTAATTATTTATAATAACACCGGGAGAAGGTAGATGACGGAGGAATCACTTGCCCTGTCTAATAATTCATTAAGTATGATAGACATCTAAAATTCCTTGCCTTCTCTTGTGGGTACCAAGTTCAGCTAATGTTAATGTACTTAACGAGCCAATATGGCTGTTTTCTTGGATATCCAGGACTTTGTCTGAGAGCAACATAGCTCAGACTTTAGTTCCGTTAATCTGGTGGAGGGAATGTGTTGAAAGGAAGATCCCTACTCAACAAATTAAACATTTAAACCACGCGTCACGTCACAACTACTACTACTACTACTACTACTACTACTACTACTACTACTACTACTACTACTACTACTACTACTACTACGACTACTACTACTACGACTACTACTACTTGGACAATTACAGAGCAATAAATGCATAAATAGTAAGCAGGCTGATAGGCTTGCGGGTGAAGCTACTGTGCTTCTAACTTTACATGTGTATGTTTTCTCTGTGATGCTTTTCCTGTGCCCAGTATGGTTTATTGTGTGGTGAGGCCCTACAGAACTGGTGTTGCCTTATACAATACTGCGTATGCAACTGCAAATTTTTTTTAGTAGTTGCTGCTTCTATTGATGAAAAACTGCAATTCTAGTGGGGTAATATTTTTGTTAGCACTTTGATGGCTGCTTTAGGCATTTGTCTGTGACAGGCATTCTAAGTTGTCTATGCTGGCACAGGGCCGGGCCAGTTATGGGGTGACACATGTGCTGTGAAGTTAGAACTGTGATTCAATGATTGACTGTTTCTCTTTTTCTTCTAAGCCTTCACGGGTTGTAAATGTCGGTGGAAAGTTCTGGTTGTTCGTCCATTTCTGGAATTTGATCTTGTTCCAAAACTAGAGTTTTGCATGCACATCTATTGTACAGATATAACTGATCTATTTTAGACTGTAGGTTCTTTGCCCCTTCAGCAGATGTTATGTGACTTCGAAGGAAACACCCTTAATTAGTCGAGTTTTATGAGACGCTTGTTAGGGAGCAGTGGAATTATTCTTCCCCCCCCCCTCCCTTCCCCGCAATGGGATTCATGTGATTAGTGATTAGAAAGGATTATCATCACAACCCTCCAGACAGATCCATAGGTGCTCCGATCTCCACAAGTGTAAAAGACTGATGACGCCTGTTCTGTGTTGGGTAATGAAACGTCTTGTCCCCTTAGTGAAATGTTCATTTCTTGCAGCTCCAGGCTGCACCCCCATGTCCATCAGTCTAGACAGGGATACTGAGTCATGTCCTTTGGTTTGCTCCTCAGTACGGTAAGTGCAGCGCATGGCATTGATAACATCACTTCTGTTCAGCCATAGCAACCACAGTATCAGCAAGATAGTCTGCACGCTCGTTCCCTTCAACACCCTCATCACTTGGCAAAAAGATGAAGGTTAGGGCAGCAATTCGTGAAGTGCTTAGTGTTGCAGTCCATTCTTGTCTGATAAATCCAGTATGTATTATTTTTAAGCATATTTATCAAGTCACTCAGAAGGCATACATATGTGTGACTCATGGAACTCATGTTTATACATGAAAGGTAACTGTGAGACAGACAGCAGAAGTACTAGAGATTATATTCAGTTCACACACAATGACATAATATGGTATGAAAGACATCGACTCCATATGTTACCATCAAAACAACATTAAGCTGCAACATTCGGATATCAGTTCATGTAACCTCCACCCCCCCCCCCCCCCCCCCCCCCCCTCTGTGTCATTCTTAATAATTATAGCTAAATATTTTCTTAAAATATGTAAATCCTTACTGAAATGGTTGGGGCATATTGAAAAAATGTCAGATGACAGAGAAGTTAAAACGGTATACACGAGCGAGATGAAAGGTCGAAGACCACGAGGCAGACCAAGAAGACGATGGAGAGATAATGTCCAGACAGACCTGCAAACACACGGTGTCACCAACTGAAAAGAGAAGAACAACTAGAGAGATAAATGGAGGTGAGTGATATCTGCAGCAATGAACCTCAAGGGCTCAGAATGATAAAAAATAAGAACAAGATGTAAATCTTTATGTAATTCAGTCAATGTGAATACCTTAAACTGTTGGGGGAAAAAATACACAATATAGAAAGACATCATTAAAGTTGTGGCTCGAAAGCCCTCAACAGCATTCATTTAACCACAAGTCAATATTAACAGGAGCATACTTGTTGTTTTGCAAGTCCAATGTTCGCAGAATTTGCCTTCTGCCAAGCGCACCATCAATAAACTCAATCTCATTGTTTGCGGCGTAAATATCTTTGAGGGAAGAAATCCTGAAACAAAATAATGTCTAAGCATGCGCGGGTTGTACGTGTTCAAATAGGTGTCATAACGTGGGTGCTGGTCACTTAAACCCACAAACCACTTTTTTAGGTGGAAACTGCCCTATCCGTCTCCCCCGCCACAATAAACGTTAAAGTTTAAATTCAAGAGGATCGACTTCATTGCACCGGGTTTTTATCCCATATGGCTTGGTCTCTTTTGGCAGAACGGCTAGCTGCCTGCCGAGAGCATCGCATAGAGGACAAACCCCGTTGCTCTGGTGACGACTCCCAGGCATCTCCCTAAAAAACTGCACTTGTGAATTGACGAAGCAGCTGTGAAACGAAATCACGACCTTCAGAGCACGATGCAAACGGCTTGACCACTTCGCCACTGATATCCCCACACAATTGTGAAAATGGACCAAAAGTCCCACCATTTGTATACATTATCTTGAGAAGTCTGTGTTTATACACTTCATGTTATTTTAAATATAAATGTTATATTTGTTTGCCATCCAGCACAAAAATAATAATGATAATAATAATAATTTTCCTCTTCTTCTTTTCTCTATTCATAGAATGCCTCAGACGTCAGGGCAGGAACAGATTGATAAAAGGGGCCCATCTGTTTGCTTCGTATTAAGTAACTTTCAGTGTCTCTGATATTTCTGTGGTCTGTCTTCTGTGTAGTCGACGTCTGCCTATGTAACCTTTGAAAGTAAGCAAACAAATTAAGAAGAGTTTGTAGGCAACTGAGATGTGGCTCTTAAGAAGAAAGTTGTGAATACCTTGGACTGCCAGAATAACTAACAATGATGATTTGATTACCTGGAAATGGCTAATGAAGGTAGAACATTATACATACCAATGAGAAGGAGACAAAATTTGTCGGTCGAGTGATGAGAAAAGGAGCACTGGAAAATATCATGATGACTGGACTGATCACAAAAACCGAGATCTGTGTAGATGCATGAACGCCTATGGCAGCTGGCAAGACACATGATGATGATGAGAAAATAGAAACTGGAACATGTTGTGATGTCTGGAAAGATCTGTGGTGGAAAAGAGACAGAAGAATCTTTCTTGTTCTTTCTTCTTTGCATACAACGGCTGTGAATTTCTGGCGGAATGTACTGGTTGTTTGTTCATTTGGAACTTTTTACCAGGTCCTGAGTTTTTTTTTAAACATTTGCATCCATTTTACTGTTTTATTTGTGTGCAGTTCTTGTTCCCTGCCTCTCAGGCAGACGTACATCAACTCTGAAGGAAGTCGTCAATCATATCTCTTAAATTGAGTTTTTCTAACCCTCGTTTCACAGATCTGGCTTAGTTGTTCGGAGACCATTGGTTCCATGCCTCTTAGGCAGATGCACTTGGACTCGGAAGGAAAACTCCATACTTAGCCACATTGAACGATGTGCTTGTTGTGGGGTGGGGAGGGGAGAGAGGGGGGGGGGGGTAGTGGGTCTATTCTTGTGTCCCCCCAGAATGGGGCATGAGAAACGACATGGGGGGGGGGGGGGAGTACAACTGTTCAGTTGCCATAATTACAGTCAAGGACCATTTGATCCACTGTGAAAAGATGACTGACAGGACTACCTGTTGATTCTCCTGGGAAAAACTTTCAGGCTGTTATTTGCTACATCCAGGATAATGAGATTCTCTAGATAATGGATGTTTCTTGGCAGTTTCTCAATCTTGTTATTGGACACTCTCAACTCTTCCAGGGCCTTCAGTTTGATAAGAACATCGATGTTCGACAGGTTATTGTAAGAGAGGTCCAGTCTCTGAAAAAGTATTCAGCATAAGCTTGCACTAGTTACATACAACAGACATCAGGAAAGAACACTAACCCCCCTCCCTTCTATATGCAACAGTACGCACTACTGGCACCTTTTTTAGTGTACATTCTTTCAGCACTAGAGTAAAAAGACACTTTCAGGTGTGTACCTGCACCTTTTGTTTAAAGACAGAAGTCCTGTTTATGGTCATTAACAAATGTGCTTGAATATTTTAAAATTTTCAAAAATGCAAATAAAATACGCAGGTTTTTCCCCTTCTTTTTCTGGTCATAGGTGAAATAAATATATGGTATGTAAACTGCAGGGTTCCTAATCTGCTGAAAGTGACAAACTAATATGACCTGTAAACTGCTGTGTTCTTTATCTGTTAGAAGTGCAACAATGTGGCCTGTAAAATACATGATTACTCAAACTATTAAAAAATTTCAGAGGTGACATCTTTATCCTTTTAACTGTAGTCTTTTTAATCTGTCAGAGGTGATATAATATATCATGTTAACTGTAGTCTTCTTAATCTGTCAGAGGTGATATATATCATGTTAATGTTTGTTTGTTTGTTTGTTTTAGTATCCAGAAGCCATGAGTTGTTAACCCTTAGGCTTGTTATTATGGATATCGCAACCTTTTGGCCTTGATTCAATTTTAAATACCGTAAATCTGGGAGAAATGTGGCTTTTCTGCCTAGCCCCGGGAGTGAACCCGGACCACAAGGAGTTCATCACCCGCTCACCGCGCAATCCGGTTTAGCCAACTACGCTAGAGAGCCGGGCATATCATGTTAACTGTACGGTTCTTAATCTGTCAGAGGTTTTTTTTTTTTTTTTTAATCGATCACCGGCTGTGAATTCCAGTGGAAGGTCCCGGTTAATCGTCCGCTTGGACTTTTGGCTTTCACCTGGACCTGATTTTTGCGTGTTCAACCGTTTTTCATTTCCCTGCCTCATGGGCAGCTGTACTCCGACTTCGAAGGAAGACGTCAGGCTTATTTCTAGGTTGACTGTGGCCATTGTTTTGTGTGGGTCGAGACGTTGCCTGATTTGTGTGGTGTCCACTTTGTCTCCTCCGCAGGTATTGCCCTCGGAGTACCCCTTTGGGGCAGCCCCCTGTGGAACAGTTAGCCCTCAAGGGAAGGCAGGGGCAGATCATGGGCATTCCCCGCCATCCAAGGAGGCTTCCATGCATGCAGAGCCGGCACATGGCGCTCTGGTTCTGGGCTCACCCAAGGAATCGTCACGTCCTGCACATGCCTGCTTAACCTCACAATCGTATCAGGCCTCCCGCTCGACAGGGGCTGCGCCCTCTGGAAGACAGCGGGGAGCAGCCCGTGGGTTTTGGACTTTTGTGACCACACAGATAGGTACATTCTTTTTTCTTCGCAAGTTAGATTTCTTTGACGAGCCGTTAGCCCGACAGAATTTTACATCCTGCATCAGGCATATCGTTATCAGTTTTGTCCCAACACTCAGGCGAGTGGGGTCTTTGGGTGTAGACATTCGGTCTTTTTCAGTTCAATACAAATTTTGATGGTCAGATTTTGATCCGTATGATCTAGTTTTGTCGGACAATTAGGATGGTTGCTGTTGTGGTGTACCTCAGCGCGGTGACGACGACACTGGGGGTTAACCGAGGATGTACAAGGATGGCCAGCCTATGGATGGTTGCTGTTGTGGTGTACCTCAGCGCGGTGACGACGACACTGAGGGTTAACAGAGGATGTGCAGTGAACAATGTTCTCTTTACTCCGCAGTCTTTTAACCAAGGGTTGTAATTTTGGCTGTACGTTTGGCAAACCTACTCATGTTCCTAATGAGTTTTGATAACATTTTTCACCCAAGCGTATGGGGGCGGGCTGATGAGAGCCACAAGGACACATCACCTCTGGGGGCCGCCGAACTCCGAGATCCCCTGACAGCTCTGTTAATGCTCATTTGAGACATTATCCGTGGCGCACGACGAGGACGTGCTGTAGGGGTCTTGCGTGAGGTTACGTACAACCAGGATAGTTAAGGACTGGCGCCCGAGTGACGTACGGAGTATCTCCTTATACACATCATGTTGGACTTAACTTCCCCTCACGCCTGTGACATAAATCACCGCGCCACTCTGTCAGAGGTGATATAATATATAATTTTAACTGTACGGTTCTTAATCTATCAGAGTGATATAATATATTTTGTTCAAATAATTTTTCAGTGGTCATAACATGTTCCAGTTTCCCTCTTCTCATAATATAACCCCCCCCCCCCTCTCTCCCCCAAAACCATGATTGTCTCTTTCTGATGTCTGTAATAAGTTGCACTCGATCCCTCACCTCTTTCATTTCAAAACATCTTTTTTGGCTGCCCAAGCTGGAATAACAGTGCCTATATTACTGTTATTACTGAGTGGTTAGCAATCTGTGAAAAAATGGGGCCAGCATAATTTGACCAACGCATATTGTGGGAAAAGGAATATTTACTTCAAAACTACCCCACTCTCACTGAGGCAGTCATGGTAGAGTAGTGGCTAGACGCTTGCCTGTCAGTCTAGAGGTCTCAGATTGAATGCACATTATGTTTGATTTGAAAAAAAAAAAAAAAAAAAGAAACGATCTTGGCTCCCAGGTCAACATAACCTAATACAGGTACCAGGTAAAATTCTGGAAAGTAAAGGGGGCCAGCATGATTACCACCACACCATCCGTCTAGTACCGAGTGATCTACCACCACACCATCCGTCTAGTACCGAGTGATCTACCACCACACCATCCGTCTAGTACCGAGTGATCTACCACCACACCATCCGTCTAGTACCGAGTGATCTACCACTACACCATCCGTCTAGTACCGAGTGATCTACCACCACACCATCCGTCTAGTACCGAGTGATCTACCACTACACCATCCGTCTAGTACCGAGTGATCTACCACCACACCATCCGTCTAGTACCGAGTGATCTACCACCACACCATCCGTCTAGTACCGAGTGATCTACCACCACACCATCCGTCTAGTACCGAGTGATCTACCACCACACCATCCGTCTAGTACCGAGTGATCTACCACCACACCATCCGTCTAGTACCGAGTGATCTACCACTACACCATCCGTCTAGTACCGATTGATCTACCACCACACCATCCGTCTAGTACCGAGTGATCTACCACCACACCATCCGTCTAGTACCGAGTGATCTACCACCACACCATCCGTCTAGTACCGAGTGATCTACCACCACACCATCCGTCTAGTACCGAGTGATCTACCACTACACCATCCGTCTAGTACCGAGTGATCTACCACCACACCATCCGTCTAGTACCGAGTGATCTACCACCACACCATCCGTCTAGTACCGAGTGATCTACCACCACACCATCCGTCTAGTACCGAGTGATCTACCACCACACCATCCGTCTAGTACCGAGTGATCTACCACCACAACATCCATCTAGTACCGAGTGATCTACCACCACACCATCCGTCTAGTACCGAGTGATCTACCACCACACCATCCGTCTAGTACCGAGTGATCTACCACTACACCATCCGTCTAGTACCGAGTGATCTATAACCACACCATCCGTCTAGTACCGAGTGATCTCCCACTACACCATCCGTCTAGTACCGAGTAATCTACCACTACCCCATCTGTCTAGTACCGAGTGATCTACCACCACAACATCCATCTAGTACCGAGTGATCTACCACCACACCATCCGTCTAGTACCGAGTGATCTATAACCACACCATCCGTCTAGTACCGAGTGATCTACCACTACACCATCCGTCTAGTACCGAGTAATCTACCACTACCCTATCTGTCTAGTACCGAGTGATCTACCACCACAACATCCATCTAGTACCGAGTGATCTACCACCACACCATCCATCTAGTACCGAGTGATCTACCACCACACCATCCGTCTAGTACCGAGTGTTCTATCAAAACATGAGCCAGGCATTCATGCCACTAGCGGGAGAAATGTCGTTTACTTTATTATTTACATTCTCTTCGAACTGCAATGATATGGCAAATAAGGTTTTTTCTTTAACTTCAAATCAAAGATTTGTGTCCCCTTATGGGTTCTGGGGCACGAATGTGGGAAAACAAGAACAGATCGACTACCTCCCCAACAAGCATGTTGTAATAGTCGACTAATTAGGGGTTTTCTTTGAGATCAGCATACATATGCCTGAGAGGTTTTGAACCAAGTCTACATATAAAAAAAAGCTAGACACATAAAACGGACGTGCACGCAACATTCAACTTCTGGAACAAAAGTAAAATCTAGAAACGGACGAACAACCAGAATTTTCTGCAGGAGTGCACATCCCCTTAATACGAAGAAGAAGAAGAAGAAGAAGAAGAAGAAGAAGAAGAAGAAGAAGAAGAAGAAGAAGAAGAAGAAGAAGGAGGAGAAGGAGAAGAAGAAAAAGAAAATGAAGAAGGAGAAGAAGAAAAAGAAAATGAAGAAGAAAAAGAAGAAAATAAAGGAGAAGTATTAAAGATTTACCAACCTCCAAAAACTTCAGTCCAGTAATTTCTTCGGGTAAAGTTTCTATCTCATTATGTGACAGGTCCAGATCTTCCATCACCTTCATTTTACTAATGGCATTTGGCAGAACATTCAGGGCATTGTAGGAGGCATTCAAGATTGTCAGGGCACACGTCTGGGGAGCAATGGCATAGTGCTGAGAACTTGATAAACAAGTGTTCTAATTCTGAGCGGTTATTTGTGTTTATACTTTCCAGAAGTGGGAGCAATTGTGATGGAACTGTCTTTATTTTTTTTTCTTGAAAAAATGACTTTGGCTCCCAGGCCAACTCAGCCTCTGATGGGTAGCAGGTAAAAGTCATGGTGAGTAAAGGTGGCTGGCGCGATGCTCACCACATCACCCACCGAGTGCTGACTGATCACAAAAACTACAGGTCTAGCGCTACATACCCAGAACATCTGAAGGCGTTGAAAACTGTCCTTTACTTTTCGGAAGTAGTCAGCTTTGGAGGTCATGGCAGTGACTGAAGTATTAATATGGTTGGAGACACAGACGTTCGCCCGGTCATGCTTTCTTAGTGACTCGATTAGTATGCTCAGTGAGATAGAGACGGGCTGGATTGGGAGACAGTGGTTGGTGTGACCGAGGCGGTTAGGACTGACATGAGATTAGCTTCCTGCTCCGGTCAGGGTGCGCAGGAATGCAAGGAAACGAGAAAACCGATAGGCTTGCATGAACAAGTGCTGTGAAGAGCGAATCAGCCATGGATCTGGCTTGATGTTGAATGTTGAATTAGGAATCGACATCACAGCAGTGTTGCCACTTTGGATCTTTTGTATCCAAATTTAGATCTTTTTCATTGCATTTAGATCCTGTTTTTGACGTTTAGATACTAAATATTTTTCTAGATTCTTTTCATATGGAGTTAGATATTTTATAGATTTTTTTCTTTTAGTGTCATTTTAATAATTATTGAGTAAAATATTTACTAAAATATTTTTGTTTTGGTCTGGCACGTACATTGTGGCAACTGCCATTACTTAAACTTTGAACTCTCACTAAGGTCAACACTCAAATATCTGACAACCCCGGTGCTGATTAATCGAATCGCGCGTAAATCATACTTTGTTTCAACCGTATCCTCACTGTGCTGTGAAGTATAGCTGTGATGCTGACTCTGTGTTTCTTTTTCATGTGATATTTAAAAAATAATTGCTCACCTTCTTGTGTGGCTTTCACTTTGAAAAAACCTTTCAACATGACAAAAGTAAAGTATGAGTAAAAATTTCGGAAAGAGTATTTGCATGATGACAAAATTAAAGACTGGGTGATGGCAGTTCCTGGGGATATAACCAAAGCTCGTTGTAAGTACTGCAAGTGTGAAATTAAAGCGAAAATACAAGACTTAAAGAAGCATGCAGAGACTAACAAGTATAAAACTGCAGTTCCATTCAAAGATATTACACCGCTGACATCTGTTTTCAGAACTACACTGATAAATGAATCATCAAAAGTTGAAGGGTCGGTCGCAATGTTTTTAAGTTGCCATTGTGCAATTTCAAACTGACCATTTGATTGATTTGTTTAAAAACACACAATTTCTGACAGTAAAGTTATGGATGATGTGAAAATGCATCGCAGCTAGTGTACACATATTATAAGAAATACTTTATTTTCTCACTTCGAAAAAGATTTGATCAGTGATATTTCTACAAATAAATATAGTTTATTATTAGACGAATCAAATGATATTTCGGTACTGAAAGTGCTTGGTTTGTGTATTATATATTACAGCAACAATACAGACAAAGTAGTTTCTACATATCTTGGACTAGTTCAATTGGAAAAGTGTGATGCAGAAAGTATAGTTCAAGAACTGAAGAACCTTTTAATCAGCAAACAGTTAGACTTGACAAATTTGGTTGCAATTGGTACCGATAATGCCTCAGTGATGGTTGGTATAAACAATGGCGTTTATACCAAGTTGAAGGAAGCTATCCCATCGTTAATACTTATAAAATGTATGTGTCATTCATTGCAGCTAGCATTATCACATGCTTCATCTGAATGTTTACCAAGGAATCTGGAATACCTTATTGCTGAAACACATAACTGGTTTTCAAAATAATTTGTCAGACAACAGCAATACAATGCATTGTATTCAGCCTTAAATAATGGTTCCACGCCACTGAAAATTCTGTCAGATTAAAAAACCAGGTGGTTATCAATACAACCAGCTGTTGAAAGAATTGTGAACCAATGGTTGGAGTTAAAGACACATTTTGAAATAACAAGACAAAGTGAAAAGTGCTACACAACTGAGATACTATATGGAATGTACAGTGATGAAAAAAATTTGGCATTCCTTCTCTTTTTACAACCTATTCTAATGGAAGTGCAAAAAGTTAATAAACTGTTCGAATCCAAACATGTTGATAAAGTTAAATTACTTGACGATCTCACTTTGCTATTTTACTCAGTTGGTAAAAGACTGGTGTTGCCAACTTCAAAAGTTGATTTGCTCACTTGCACTATAGAGAGCTATTTGGCTCTTAAGCCATACCTTGGATATCAAATTGAATCAAAAATTGATGATTTAAAAACAAAAGGACTGTTAACAGAGAATGAAGAGAACAACTTAAGAAAACGCTGTCAAGATTTCCTTATCTCATTATTCAAGCAACTAAAGCAGAGACTTCCTGAAAATCTAGATGTATTGAAACATATTTCACTCTTTTCTGTGAGCAACATACTTCAGCCAGTAAAGGACATACCTAAATATTGTAAAGTTATGAAATTTTTAGGGGCTACTGACAATAGTGTCGCGGAAGCAGAATATCAGTTAACCAAAATAAACTTAGTTGAATGGACAAACAAAACAGAAACTGAAGCGTTTTGGAGTGAAGTGAGACAATTTAAAGATGCCTCATCAAACAGTCCATTCTGTAAACTCTTTGAATGTGCCATGTCTGCCATGATACTACCCAACTCAAATGCTGACGTAGAAAGAGTTTTCAGTGCTATGAATTACATCAAATCTAACCTAAGAAACAGGATGAAATTAGACCTCTTAAATGCTATCTTGACAATAAAGTTTGGCCTGATGAGAGTAGGAAAATGCTGTTCCACTTATCAGCTCCCTGATTGTGTATTAAAAGAAATTGGAACAGCTAAAGCATACCAGAGTAATTTGGGATCTGAAGCTTCAACTTCATCATCCAAGCTAAGTTTATCCTGTGGATCTTGTGAAGCAGACATCAGTGAAGATGAGGACATGTGTCTATAGGGTAAGTCATTTCAATAGTTTTGTAATTTGTGACTCTTTTCATTTGGATATTTTTTTAAATATTTTCCACGCAAATTTAGATCTTTTTAGATATTTTTAAACCCCGTTTTGGATCTTTTTTGTCAAAGAAAAGTGGCAACACTGCATCACAGAACTCAGGACACCCCTATAAATGCTCCGTCCCCATCTTCAGCAGCAAGCGAAGAGTTCAAGTTCTGATGGTACCAATAACTATCTGATATCCGTCTCGCCTTTCCACTGAGTGTTGAGCGTCAGCCAGATCCCCTGATATAACTCCTCGCAGCACCATTCTCCTCAGACAGCAATCATCTATCCGCGCCTATGCACTGTTCACTCGTTCCCAAAGGGCTCTCACAATATCTAGCTTGCCATACATCAATTCACCACCACGTGGTGCAGAACCTGCTAGTCTATATACCTGCTCATTTCCCAACACACCGGCATAAACTGGAGAAAACATCAAACGAATGCTAACTACCCAGGACCTCTAAAGTGATGCTTGCAACTCTGCACGAAGCATGCCTTTGACCCACTCCTCTCCTTGCTCAAATTTATCGAGCCTGCACACATGTCTGATTGTGTCTTCAGCTTGCCCCATCCAAGACCTCCTCTTTTCAGCCTGTGACCCTCAGCTCTACCCAGAACTTCATGCAGGAGGTGCTTCTCGTCTGCAGCAGCTACTCTGAAACATGACTTTGCTTGCAGAACATTGAGTCTATCTGCAATAGTAGGCAGTGCAAGTATCTTTCGCATACATACTACCAGGGTATATCTTGTACATCCCATAATTACCCGCATGGTTTCATTCTGTATGCTTTCAAGTTTTATCATCTGACTCTTTGATATGGTCAGCATTCCAAGTCTGTAAACTATCACCAACAGGATCATATGCTGAAACATTGTAAACAACATTCTTTGTTCCCTGTCCATTGCTGCCATAATCTTGAGAGCATGTAGTCCTTTTTGGCAGCTCACCACAACTACCTCCATATGATCTCTATAGGACCAGGCTGATACACCTGTATACTGAATGCTCTACGAGAAGTCATCTGTGAAAGCCAGTTGACTGCAAATCTGCAGTCATGGTCAGACTGCAAGAAAGCAAGCTAAAAGGGGTGTGGTGTAAGAAAAGAGCACCATGTAGGAAGCCAAAGAAAAAACCAAATCAGAAACCAACACAGAAAAGATGTCGCCAGTTGCTACATTGAGCAGGATTTACTGATTAGTGGATCGAAGCCCTTATGCAGTGAATGGTTCCATGTGTTGACTATCTAACTATCCAGCAATAATAATTGCATCAGTACAATGACTTGAACGTCTGCCCGCTGGCCTTTGGTGGTATGATGAAATCTCCCTATGGAGGTATCATTTTGAAATTCCCCTAGGCTTCCAGACGGATCCAACCAAACAATGACATTAAGAAATGTCCTCACAATTACAGGTGGCGGGTGTGATACTGCCTTCATCATCATGCTACTGTTCCGTTATGTGTGTGTTGTCCATTAAGATGATGATAGCCACTTTTTAAAAATCAAGTATGAGTACGAAGATGACTGATGAGGCCGATGCAGGCCCGAAACATTCTTGAACAGTGAGGACAGGAAATGTGAGTGTTGTGCCAGGGAGGGGATCTCCTGCAGTCGCCTTTTTGTCCATCCTTTTCTTAATCAGTCTTGCTGTTCTCTTTGCTTCACATGTAGCCGCGCCCATGCATTTCAGTCTTGAGAGACAACCTCCCAATTGGAGTCATTCATCCCAAATGCTTTGAGTGAAGACTTTAAAGTGTTATATGTCTCATGAGGCTCAGCATTTATTCTTCCACTCTGTTCCATCAGAAATTCAACAAATGATTAAAGATAACTCCTGCCTAGGTGATGTGATTATCAGTATACAAGATGGCCACTATAGAGTTCTAAATCTCACAGAGGGGACATAATTCATCCTGTTAACTGTAGCATTCTTAATCTGTCAAAGGTGACAAGAGGCTAGCCTCATTTCTTTATTGACCTCAACAGCCGCCTTTACATCCCATGACTTCACCTGGTATCCATTTAAGGCTGGATTAACCTGGCAGCCAAGGTGATGTTTAAAAAAATGTATGTACTGTGCGGATTTGAACCTACGACCTTTTGGACCCACAGACAATCGCCTAGCCACTTCACCAAGTGGCACCCACCTATAACTATTGAACAAGAGGAAATCATTAATTCAAGTATATGCAGCCTTATTTAAGTCACAACTGGAGATGTCTTAACAGTTTTATGGGCCCTGGACAAACCAGTGTGCCGAGGCCCATATGACACAAACACCCCCCCCCCCTTTCCCACTTCCCCACAGAAACGAAATGTAAATGGTCGTTCATATTAAACATATATTTCATCATTCATTTTAGTGACGCTTCAACAAAACTGTTGGTAAAGCATCAACCCAAATTAGCTGACAGTCTGAAATTACTTTGAACTTCTCATATGACGAGTCACTGGAGATTCACAGATCACCAGCACTGGACCCCATGGCTTGTGAGACCCCCCCCCCCCATCCCCCAGGCAAGTATCCAGCGGACCCATCCGTTAAGACGGTCCCCTGGTCATGTCAGCCTTGGATACACAACATCACATGTAGCACCAACCTGCATGTAGAGAGGCTCTGGTAAAGAGGTCAACTTGTTATGGCTCACATCCAGATAGTGCAGGAACTTCAGGGCCCCAAGTGAAGCTGGCAGAGTCTGACATGGAAGACAGCAAAGAGACACGCCTGAAGATTTAAGATGTGGACCCTTTTCATCGCCTTTAGGCATTCTGGGCGGGTATATACGGCTAGAATTTAGGATGACGGGAGCCATACAATCTTAAATTTTACAGTTACAAGATAGCACCAGCAAGGCGGGATTACTTGTCATGTGTAGGCGTTAGCAGGTAGGTTAGCTAATGACTTCAGTGTTGAGAGTATGCGATGTAAGTAAACTGTACCCCACCAGGACATCACACAGAGTGATGAACACCCGGTGACACAAAGTGCCACCATGCGGATGAAGTCCCAAAAATCAAGTCAACCGTTTAGTTATATTACGGCCCCTGGCAACAACCAGGGTGGGGCTTCAAAATAAGAAAAATTGCATCCCACAAGGGAGATGACTTATAATGCCATAGAGAGTATGCGATGCTTGCTTGCTTATTGTACCTCACCAGGACATCACACAAGCAAAAATCACCAGGTGACACAAAGTGCAGCTATGCGGATAAGGATCACTCGTGGAGAGGTCCCAGAAACCCCTTTCAGCCGTTATGGCCACATTTATGGCCCAGCTATATCCAGGATCCCCGGCAAAAGCCAGGGTGGGGCTTCACATAACAAAAAATTGCATCCCACAAAATAACGACCAAGGTTAATAAAAACGAGTATGCGATGCTGATGGCAGACTATCAGTAACTGGTAGATTGAATGCGCTACAGTTTCTGCATAAGTGCAGTAAACAGTCTGAGACCTAAACCAAGTGGTGTATTGGTAATAAAAAGTAACCACTAATATTAAATAATAAAATAATGTATTTGTCTCAAGCATGACTCGCCACTGCAACATAGAAAGCTGGATACCAGCATCAAGAGTGCTGTAGTGTGTTCGTTTTAATGTGTTTAATAATGACCATGTTAGTTCTGATTCTTTTACTGGACTCTCACTGTGAAATGATGTCCTACGCCACCTCATAGAATCTGCTTTTACAGCTGCCTTATGCAATTTTTACTTTTGGTGTGCAAGCTTCAAGACTTTGCTGGCACTAACAACTTTTTAAAAACTAGTTTTGAATTGAGTTGAGTCAAGAATTGACATCACAGCACTCGGGGCATTCCCATGTGTGCTCCATCCTCATCTTCAGCAGCCAGCGCAGAGTTCTAATACTGATGATACTGGTTACAATCTCGTTATATGTCCGTCTTGCCTTTCCTCTGAGTGTAGTGAGCTGGCCAGACCTTCTGGTTACACCCAGATGCCTCATTCTCTCCAGTCCATAACAATCTTGTTTCTCTACTGATTCCGTTGCTTGTTCCCAAAGGGCCTTAACCACACCTGCCTTGTCATGTATGTCACTAGTTTTAAAATTTGACCTTAGGGAATATTTTGTGTGATTGGAACTCATATAGAAACAGAGTAGTTATGGGGTGACTTGTCTGCAGTGATTGTTAAAACCTCGACTAAAGACTAAGGACATATCAGCTTTTAACCCAAATGTAAACTAAAGCCCATAAATGCAAAATTACCACTTGTGAGATGAGATGCCTGAGTATAGGCAGTAATCAGTAACCTAACCATCCAAAATTCGAGTGAATAATTTTAACCGTGGTTGTTGCCGGGAGCTCAAATATAAACTAACGGTTGAACGGGGTTTCTGGGACCTCTCTAAGGGTGATCCTCATCCAAATGGTGGCACTTTAGGTCACCGGGTGTTTATCACTCAGTGTGATGTCCTGGTAGGGTTAAAAGTCAGTCAGTCAGTCGTGACAATAATGATGTAAACTCCCTCTTGGCTCTGTGCACATGAGACATTACCAGGAGGGACCCTCTTTTCCATCTTCAGCTGTCAGCCATCTTTTTCAGTTGCAGTTGTAATTGTAGTGGTCTGGTTGTATGTCCATCTTGCTTTGGCTCTGAGTTTTGAGAGTCGGCCAGAAATCCCTGCTCATGACCCCTTGAACTATTTTATGCAGACGGCGATGATCTGTCTGTGCTTCCCCACTGTTTGAATGTTTTGTGCAGACGGCGATGATCTGTCTGTGCTTCCCCATTGTTTGAATGTTTTGTGCAGACGGCGATGATCTGTCTGTGCTTCCCCACTGTTTGAATGTTTTGTGCAGACGGCGATGATCTGTCTGTGCTTCCCACTGTTTGAATGTTTTGTGCAGACGGCGATGATCTGTCTGTGCTTCCCCACTGTTTGAATGTTTTGTGCAGACGGCGATGATCTGTCTGTGCTTCCCCACTGTTTGAATGTTTTGTGCAGACGGCGATGATCTGTCTGTGCTTCCCCACTGTTTGAATGTTTTATGCAGACGGCGATGATCTGTCTGTGCTTCCCCATTGTTTGAATGTTTTGTGCAGACGGCGATGATCTGTCTGTGCTTCCCCATTGTTTGAATGTTTTGTGCAGACGGCGATGATCTGTCTGTGCTTCCCCACTGTTTGAATGTTTTATGCAGACGGCGATGATCTGTCTGTGCTTCCCCACTGTTTGAATGTTTTATGCAGACGGCGATGATCTGTCTGTGCTTCCCCATTGTTTGAATGTTTTATGCAGACGGCGATGATCTGTCTGTGCTTCCCCCACTGTTTGAATGTTTTGTGCAGACGGCGATGATCTGTCTGTGCTTCCCCACTGTTTGAATGTTTTGTGCAGACGGCGATGATCTGTCTGTGCTTCCCCCACTGTTTGAATGTTTTGTGCAGACGGCGATGATCTGTCCGTGCTTCCCCACTGTTTGAATGTTTTGTGCAGACGGCGATGATCTGTCTGTGCTTCCCCACTGTTTGAATGTTCTGGAGCACAGATAAAAAGGATGCTAACTTTCCTGCATCCACGAACTGAGGCCTGCTACTCTGCAGGGAGAGCACACCTTTCTTGCAATGCTTTGAGAGTCTTTTACAATCAAGATATCAAACAAAAGAAGAAGAAGAAGAAGAAGAAGAAGAAGAAGAAGAAGAAGAAGAAGAAGAAGAAGAAGAAGAAGAAGAAGAAGAAGAAGAAGAAGAAGAAGAAGAAGAAGAAGTAGAAGAAGAAGAAGAAGAAGAAGAAGAAGAAGAAGCAGAAGAAGAAGAAGAAGAAGAAGAAGAAGAAGAAGAAGAAGAAGAAGAAGAAGAAGAAGAAGAAGAAGAAGAAGAAGAAGAAGAAGAAGAAGAAGAAGAAGAAGAAGAACAACAACAACAACAACAACAACAACAACAACAACAATAATAATAACAAAAACATTTAGCTGAAGAAAAAGAAGATGGAGGAGGAAGAGGAAAAGAAGAAAAAAGAAGGAGAAAAAGAAGAAAAAGAACAACAATATCAACATCAGAAACAGTTAATAACAATAACAACAACAGCAAGGTGAAGAAGTAGACAGAGGAGGAGAAGAACAACAACAACAAACAACAACAGTAGCACTAAGAACAAAAGGAAAAATAGGAATATTGAAAACACTGGGGGCACTTACCACTAACTGATTATAAGATAGATCCAAGTAAACAATACTGATGACTTTGTCAATGTTTTCAGGGACAACTGCCAGCGAATTATGTGAGACGTTGATCCACTTTACGGCTGGGTTTTTCACACTGGCCCGAGGGAGGGAAACAATTCTGTTATATGCAAGGTCAATTTCGCCTGGAATTTCATACAGTGTCTTTGGAATTTTTGTGATCTGTGAAAAAAGAAGAAAGCTAATGATAGCCATCAAACAAGGGAGAACTCTAAGCTCAATTACAAAAAGCATCAGATTTGATCAATTATGAGTTAAGAATAGCACTCGAGATATTCACATAAGCGCTCTGTCCCCACCTTCAGCGGCAAGCGAAGAGTTCCAGTTCCGATGATACAAGTAACAGTCTGATTGTATATCCGCCTCATCTTTTCCTTGAGTGATGAGCAGCATCTTTAAAGAATGAGAAATCTTGATGTAATTCCTTTCAACTACTACTTCAACTCTTTAAGGAAGTTTTATGTACAATTCTGTCATTTATTATTATTTTGTGTTATTTTTTCACATACAATTGGAACACCATAATTTAGTCATTTCAATATTAATTTTTGTGTATGTTGTGTGTGTGTGTGTGTGTTTATGTGCGTGCATGTGTGTGTAATCGGCGCAACATCCTGTTTGCTTACTGTGTTCCATCTTTTTTCTTTTCTCCTCCCTATGTATTGCATTTAAAAAAAATCTTTTTTAAAACTTGTTCATATAGGAATCATTGTAACGCATTGACTGGACGCTTGCATGCTAATGCGAAGGTCTAAGGTTTGAATTCGCATTGAGCTGAGGTTTGTCATTACCTAGAGCTCCCAGTTCAACCCAGTCTATAATAATAGGGATCAAAAAATGTGCCAGAAAGTAAAGGCACCCAAAGTGGCCTTGGCTTCACCCATCGATGGCCGACTGGTTTATAAAATTCGATCTCTAGTGCACTTCAAAACCCATGCCCTTAATCAATATCATAGACAACATACCTGATTATACCGAGCATTGATGTATTTCAAAGACTTGATCTGGCCCAAAGAGGCCGGAAGCGTCCGGAGCTTGTTGTTGTTTCCGATGAACGTGTGGAGACTTTGACAGTTCTTGATGTTTGCTGGTACAGACTTGATAAAGTTGTTGGAAAAATTGAGCTGAAACAGAACAGGAACAAATTCAATATTCTCGCAATTAAATTAGAGGGGCGTAACAAAACAAGGAACCCCTTTCATTCCAGTGGCTAAACTGGACATATGATGCCAAAACTACTATGATAGTCATGTCTATCCACAATATTCTGTTTCATGTACCTTGAATCAGTTCTGACATAGATGATCTTTCACGCCATGAAGTCAAACTGTCTAGCATCTTCTCTCTCTCTCTCTCTCTCTCTCTCTCTCTCTCTCTCTCTCTCTCTCTCTCTCTCTCTCTCTCTCTCTCTCTCTCTCTCTCTTCCCTTCTGCTTCTGTTTCCCTCTGACTTTCTCACTGTCATGATGTACTTCAGTTTTCTCCCTTTCATG